TTTTTACATGAGATGTTATGCCCATATGTGAATGTATAAACTTCAGTTTCATTTATTTCTGAACATATTCATCTCCAGTAACCTATTATTTTTTCTTATTTTGCAGCAGTGAAGTTGGAGAAGATGTGAAAGCTGGCAGCTGAAGTGTTTTTGGAATGCTGGTGCTAATCACTTGGTAGATTTAACTTTTATTTTTTCCAGAATGAGTGCATCTTTTATGAACTGCAGTGAAACAGAGGAACTAAAAAAAGTTTCCTGCAGGCACAAAGCATCACAGTACTCCACTAACCCCGGCATAGAAGGGATTTACCTACTGCATCTAGCACCACTGTTCAAGCCTTTAATGCCTTGGATTAAGCTGACAGCAATACTAACCTGCCCCTGTCTTCAGCAGCCAAATAAAGAACCATGGGTAAACATAGGAATGGCTGTGACTATTTTTCAACACTGGTTTTATTTAATGCATACATTACTAAGGGAATCAGCCTTTATTCCTCTTGTTTCACTTTTTACATGCTAGAAAAGTACAATTACTTTTTAAAAGAGTTCCTCCCAGCTGGCAATGTGCACTAGGACTCAGGGTTCCACTGAGGGAATTCTGAAGAGAAGAAAATTGGTATTGCGCAGACACAGGCTGCTTCCCTGAGACTGCTAGGGCAAGGCTGTGTACTAAGGATATCCCAGGTGGTGTCCTTCATGTTGCCTGCCTATCAGCCACGTTCCGTTCTTGCCCCATTGTCATTCCCAGCAGTCAATCTCAAATCTTAGCCTTCTCTGGTGACTTCCTTCTTCGGGCCATCTGGGAAGCCCAGGATCACACTGTCTAAAAAAGAACCCACCATGAGTTCCTGGTAACAAAGGAGCCTCTGTGAAGCCTGCTACCTTTGCATATGGCTCCCATTCCCTATGTAGCCAGCTCTGAGCGATGGCCCCCTCAGATCATGGTTTCAGCTTCTCAGTCATCCTGCTCAGGAGATTTTCCTTCAGAAGAGTGCCTGGGCTCCTTCTTCCAGCATCTGCTTTAGATTGTTCATTATCAGCCACCATGTGGCACTGGAGATACAAAGTTCTCTTTATCTTCTCAACTGATGTTAGGAGGCAAAAGAACCCCGGAAAGACTCCCTGCTCACCTCTCTTCCTCCAAGCAGCAGTTGCATCTCCACCAACCTGCTAGATTGTGTGAAGAATCACCTTAGATTACCAGTAATGATCTCTAAAATTCACTGTGCATTCATTATGCACCAGGTACCACAACAAGTGCTGTGCGTGAATTTAACCTTCACTATGATCTTGTGAGGTAGGTCCTTATTGTTGTCCATGGTTTAGGTTTGTAAAGACATGTTCTTCCCAATGATTAAAACATGCCAGTAAGTGACAAAAGCAAAATTCAAATCCAAGTAATCTAATTCTAAGACCAAAGCATTTACTCAATCATCTGTTTGTTCATTCATTCATTCACAAGTAAGAGTTTGAGCTGACCCCACTCCCAGCTCATGGCAGACTGTTGGGCAAGTGCTATCTTGTGCATACATGTTGAGTGGTGATTATTGTTTATAAGAATTTCTATTTTCCTTTCTCCTGCTGTAGGCACCCATTCTTATGTGTTTAATGCTTATCTTTTACTTATATATATTTTGAAGATGTGCATTATGTTGTCTGCATACAAATATTTAATAAGTGGAAATGGTATTGCTCGAATTATGTCTTGTTTTTCACTCAGTGCTGTGTGTTTAAAGCTCCATATCCATTGCATCCTAGCACACTGATTCTCACATGCATGAAGCATATCATCACGTTTCACTACCCACTGGCCCAGGCTTGGTTGACCAGGTTTTCTCCTTATCTGCAAAGTGGTGTAGTGTATATCCATTTGTGTGGGTGCACCTATGCTTCTGTGTGGATATCTGTTAGAATTTCTCTGAAATATATATCTAGGAGTAGAACTGCTTAATCCAAAAGCATGCATGTATTTAATTTTACTAAATCCTTCTCCATTGCTGTGTAGAATAGATGTACCCATTCTTATTCCAACCAGAAATGCACTAGATTTTTATATCCTCAAGACCTTCTTTGAATGTCTGAACTACTTTGAATGTCTGAATTATGAAACATTAGGCATGCTATACAAGGTGTGATAGAAAAACGGTGAGTATTTAATTTTTAAAAATTCATTGCAGTAAAAATACTTTGCCATGTATCTCCTTCAATATGTCCCCTAGCTTCAAAGATACTTATCCCATCCCCTTGTCACTTTATGAAGCAGTTCTTTAAGTCCTCTTTCCTGAATGTCTGCAGTTGTGCTTTGTGGCTGCATTGATATCCTGAAACAATTCAAAATGTTACCCTTCATGGTCATTTTGACTTTGGGGAAGAGCTAGGAGTCACAGTGTGCCAGGTGTGGTGAATAAGATGGATGGGGACACCCTGTAATGTTTTTACAAGCCTGACTTTCCTTTGGATGGTACTTGGCAGCAGCATTCACTATACTTTTTGAATTTTTATTTTTATCGGTCAATATTTGCAGTACATAATGTTTACTCTCCTTGTGAAGAATTGACCCAGGTACACAATATATCCCTTTTTTATTCCTTTCCATTTCCTTCTCTTTCTCCTCCCTCTATCACTCAGTCCCCTTCTTTTTTGCAAAAGATTTATTTCCCTGTTTCATATTATCTTTTATTTTAACCTTTATTTGTATTTTGAGTTTATCAAATAAGAGAAGCCATGTCATATTTAAGCTTATGTGCATGATTTATTTCAATTAACATTATTTCAAGCTGTATCAGTTTTCCTACAAAGGACTCAAATTTATCCTCTATGGCAGAGTAGTGTTCAGCTGTGTATAAACATCACATATTCTTCATCCAGTCATTAGTTGATGATCTATGGGCCTCTTCCATACATGAGATTTGGCCCTTATGATTTGTGCTCATGCATGGATCACTGTAATATGGTGCCTGTAACCCTTTCAGGAAGATACCTAGAAGGGGAATAGGTGGATCAAATAGAATTTCTAGTTTGAGTCTTTTGAGGAATCTCCATATTGGTTTCCATAGTGGTTGTACTAGTTTACATTCCCACCAATATTTGTAGAAAAGTCCCTTTTTCCCATGGCCTTACCAGCATTTGTTATTATTTGATTTTTTGATGATGGTCCTTCCTTTTTGGAGTAGGATGGATTCTCAGTGTTGTTTTATTTTGCATTTCTTGAATTAGCCAGAAATGTTGAACATTTTTCCATGTATTTATTGGCAATTTATACTTCTATGCATTTCAGTTGTCCATTTTTGATTCGGTCTTTTATTCTCAGGGTGTCTGATTTTTTGAGTTCATTGTATATTCTAGATACTAATCCTCTGTTCTAGAAGTAGTGGGCAAAATATTTTTCACATTCTGTAGATTGTCTCTTTACTCTTTTGGTTGCTTCCTCTGCTGTACAGAAGCTTTCTAATTTGATATAGTCCCATTTGTTGATTTTTTGATGTTATTTCTTGTGCAATTAGGTTTCTGCTTAGAAAATCTTTAACTATGCTTATGTCTTCAGAGTTTTATTTTATCTTCCAGCAGATTGTTTCCTTTTAATATTTAGCTATTTTATCTGTTTTTACTTTAATTTAGTATAGGGTAAGATATGTAGGTCTAAGATTCAATCTTCTGACTGTGTATAATCAGTTTTCTCAGCACCATTTGAAACAGGCTGTCTTTCCACCAGTGTTATGTTTTTGGTCCTGTTCTCAAAGATCATTCATGAAAGCTGAATGTACCTGGGGTTGTTTCTGCACCCTCTGTTCTGTTCTGTTCCATTGGTCTACATGTCTGTTTTTTTTAATGTCAGTACCATGGTGGTTTTAAAAAAATCTCTATAGCTTTGTAACATAACTCTAAGTTGGGATTGTGACCATTCCCCATATTTTATTCCATCTTATAAAGACACTAAGGAGACTTTGCAGAACTACTCCAGAAACTGGCAAGAACAATGGAATATGTGCATTCAAAGCAATGGGGAATATTTTGAGGAGCACTAATAACAGTGTATCTTTTACTGTAATAAATTATTTTAAATTTAAACATTCACCATATATTTTGGTTAACTCTTGTACTGTCCTTGGAGACAACTCTTAAAATAGGATGGTTGTTTGAATGTGGTGTCCTATTCATTCTAAAGTTTCAAATTCTCAAAGGCTTTTATACCCTTTCATTCATTGCAGTTATCAGTCAAGTATTATTGCCTTTATTTTATTGATAAAAAACCTGAGCCTAAAAGATTTTTTGATAATGAATAAAGGTCTTTTGACTCCCCTATTATATTATTTGTAAAGAATACCAAGTTGCATCTGAACATCATGTTCTAATTTTTTTGTTCATTATCTCAGCAAAATCAGAGTCTTGCAAACATTGATTTTAGGGGGTTGTACTGTGGATCAAACTAGGGACTTTGTGCTTTTGAGGCAGGCAGTGGCACCACTGAGCTAAATCCCCAGCCCAGAATCAGAGTCTTATCAGTATGAAGACAGGAGGAGCAAGTATTGGTTGTGGACAGAGCAGGGAACATGGAGAATTAGCTGCTTTGGGATTGGTGGGCCTAGCATTCAGGGCTTTGAGGAAGCTGGAACACAAGGATGTTTCTGAGGAAGAAGAGGTGGGAAAAAGATAATATGAAATACACAGATACTAAGCAATATGCCTCTTTGGGAAGCTGACTCCAGGGTAAGGATTTAGAGTATGTAGTTTATTTAGTATTTATTTAGTGCATTTAGTTTCAGAGAAAATATTGATAAGAGAGTAAGGATGGAGACTAGGAAATGGAATGAATTGTTAATTCATTGTAAAGCCACTTACTGAAGTGGAGAACTGGAACTCACTCCCAGGGAGAGACTTGGGGACACACTTTGAATGACCATGCATCAGAGTTCATTCACAGGCAAGTGGGTAGTTATTTAAAAGTTTGACTCTTAAACTTTACTCTCCTCTGAACTCCTTTCCCTTTTTATAAAGCTTTTTGTTTTTTACAAAAAAAAAATTCATCATGCAAGACTGATAGGACCAATTATTTTATTGTAAAATTTTAATATGGGAAAATGGGTCTTCTGTTAGATACTGTTCCTTATAGATTCTGATGTAAAGTGTAGGAAGAAAAAGATAATTGAAAGCTTAAGTGAAAAGGATATTTCTCAGAATTTTATTTATTAGGCAAACAAAAAATCTTGCAATTAGGAATGGGACCAAAATTTTTTCTTTAACTAGACTGCTGTAGATTTCCACATTTGAAAAATTTATCTATTAGAAATTAAATCAATTGCATAAAAGGATAACTTGGTTTATAAGAAGAAAAGATTGCTTTGCTTAGATGAATCCCAGAGGACTTAGAGTAGTCAACTAGTAATTAGAAAATATTTCAAAACATCTTTAAAATATATATTAC